TTTATCTTTACCACACTCTATTGCATACTTTTGGCGCTTACAACTCTTCACTATAAAATATATTCTTTCGAATATTTTTAAATTTCTGTGTCGATTTAGCTATATCCATCTGTCTGTTCGTCTGTCTGTCTGTTGATATTACTGTAGACCTCGCACTATATAATTTTACACAGTGGAATATGTCGATCCATGTTCTGGGTAGCTCCAATTACGACTACCTCTGATTTTTGGAATCTTTAGGCCCAAGTACCAACGAAATCAGAGGCAATAAAACATCGGCTGTAATTTGGTAATGTTTTTACTTCCCCCCGAAACTACTTGAGCATCGGCAGTCCATTGGAACTTCTTTTTTGATGGTAACACCTCTGTTATTGGAAGTTTCGATGAGAAGTTTTGCATAAACCCCCTGTACCACCCGGCCAAGCCACTGTGATTGGAAAAATTTCGGTAGAGAATTTTTGCAGACACCTCCTGTACCAGCCGCCCTAGCCAAGAAAGTCACGGACTTGGTTTAAGAGGCCTGGGTTCTAAACTGTTATTTCGATAAGGCATGTTTTGGCCGTATCAAATAATATATCCATCTTTAGCCATATGACTGGGGGATAAATATTCACTTTTTATTGGCATATTTTTAGGCGATTTTGTTAAATTTTATCCTCTTCCGCCAAGATGCCATTCTGTATTGGTTGGAGCCGTTTTTTTTTAGTTTTTAAAAATAATCCACGTCTCCTGGATCAATAAAAATTCTTAAGAATTTTCACTTTGTACTCACCTATAAAACTTTTCCTTTTATTAATTGTGCAGTTATCTGAGCCGACACACCAAAATCCGCCAGCTTTACATCGCCATACTCCGTCAGCAGATATTGGCACCTTTAATGTCTCGATGCATTTTACCCATGAATGCAGGTACTCCAAACCTTTTAGCGTTCACGGCACATATAGGCAATTTGTTGTTCACTCAGGGGACCGGTCACCTGATAGATGTCCTGTAGACTACCACCACCACAATACTCCATGCAGATCCACAGTTTGTCACGTCGTAAATATGAGCCATAGTAGGCTATATTTGGATGGCGACAATCACGCATCATTATGATTTCCTGTTGGATGATTTGTATGTCGTCTGTGGGTTCCAGTTTGATGACTTTTATGGCGGCCAGCTCATTGCTTTGTATGCGTTTTGCCTGGGGAGGAAGAGAAAAGAGAGGGAGAATGAGTAAGAAGTTGAATATCGAAAATCAATAATAAAAATAAGTTGTAAAGATAATAACCTATAAAACCACTTGAAATTTGGCAGACCCCCTTACCACTGCCTCTTTGGCCCATAAAAATCTCCCAATTTTAATATCATTTCAATTTTTTATGACCCTTAAACGAATTTGTTGTCACCATTAAAGAGCCCATAAATTATTTCAAGATATTGCTCAATGTTCCATCCATTAGTTTTTCTCCAAATTAAGCCAAAATCCACCACCTCCAGCTGTGGTCATTTCCAAAACGCACAATTCCCCAAGACCTGCCATGGCAGGATAGCAAAAAAATAGAGATAAAATTTTACAGCACAATCACAGTTTTCCATTACCAACGAAATTCAATTAAAAAATGCAAGATAATGAAATTCATTTGTGCGAGGGGGGAGTGGTGTTCACATAAAACTCATCGAAATAAAATTCGCATTTTATTGCTTGTCTGACCCCACTTCCCACCTTCACCGCCATTTCTCAGTACCACTTCATTTTGAAAGTGAAAACATAAGAGAAAATTCAATTTATTTGGTGTGGTTTTTTCCTACATAAATTAAAGTTTTTGCCTGGCGTCCTTGGTGTATATTCCTTTGCCCTGCCCGCTCCCTCTCCAGCCACAAACCATGGGAGGACATGAGTCGTAAATGATAATAAACTAGCAAAAAAGCAGTCAATTCGGCCGGGCTGAACATTAAATACCCTCCACATATTTTGAACGAATTTGGAAACTTTCAAAAAAATCCGTTAAAAATAAAGCCGTTATATTAGGATCTATATGAAGACGTGGAGCTGTATAGGCAACTTCTGTCATAGCCATTACAATATTCAAAATAACAAATATAGGGAGGTACGGATATATGGATCCTATGCAAGGTGAGATGAAAAACTGCAACTAAATTCAGACTGCTGTCATTTCTAAGCCATTCGTCCGACAGTTGTTAAAATTATTCCCGCGACAGCTCATTATATTGTTTACAATCGTACAAAAGCATTTTGGTGAGAATTTTCCAGAAAAAAGTTATTCGTGATGGAATTCAAGCGTGACGTGTGATTTCTTTTTATTTGGCTGGAAACCCACAAGTGGCTATCGTTAGAGCACTCCAGCATTTAAATGTGAATAAATCTTTTGCGTCTCGTACCATCGCTTGTTATCGTGTTACTGATAGCGTAGCCCGACGTCAAGGAAGTGGACGGAAGAAAACAGCAATATCAGCAGAAATGGTTAATGGAAAAAGTGAAGAAGCGACTTGATCGAAACCCGCGTGGCAGTAGCCGAAAATGGCTCCTGAGCTGAACATATCGCAATATTCCATTCGGCGAATATTGAAAAATGAGCTCGGTGTAAAGCCATTGAAATTCCAAAAGTGCAAGAACTTACACCGCAGCAGAAAGAAAATAGACCCAAAAGAGCTAAAGAGTTTGCTTCGCTTGGCCGAAAGTGGTGAACTGCCGAAATTGGTTTTCTCCGTATCCGATAAGAAAACATTCGCTGCCAGCAGTTTGTAAATAAACAAAATAATCGTGTTTACTTGCCAAAGAGGTCAGCTGAAAATGTGCACCTTCGGTTGGCCAGCAGAACTCAAGCGTCGTCCGCAGTGATGGTGTGCCGCCATAACATCGGAGAGTCGCTCTCTGCTCGTATTAATTGACCGTGGCATCAGAATAAATGCCGATTATTGTCGCGAAAATATTCTGGAGGGTGTAAGCTAGCTTTGAGCACGCAAACTTTTTGGCCGCAGACCTTGGACATCGAACAGGACTCAGCAACATCGCACTCAGCACGAGAATGGTTTCAAATGAGTTTCCTCGCTTCATTTCTAGCGCTCAATGGCCACCAAAATCTCCGGATACCAATCCATTGGACTACTGTTTCTGGAGTATTTTGGAAATCAAGGATGGCACTAAAAAATACCAAAGCGTCGATCACCTCAAGCAGCGATTCGGCGGGAATAGGCCAAAATACCTTAGAGCAACATTCGGGCAGCGTGTGATGGTTTCATTGGCCGTTTGAAGGCCATAATTCGTACCGAAGGTGACCAATTCAAACAAATGATATTTCCGATAGTTTTTGCTTTCATTCAATAAAATTTAAAAAAAAAGTAAAATTTATGGCGTTTGACTTTTTTGCAGTATTTTTGTTGCAGTATTTTTATCTCACCCTGTAGGAAGGACAATTTTCTGTCGCAGACTTTATTACCTATTAGTTACTTCACATACGAAATTTCAAACCATTTCGGTGAATATTGTACCTGAAATCGTCAAAATACCGAACATATGGAGGGACTGATACATGGGGCCTATACGAGACCTGTACCTACATAGACAATTTTCTGTCATAGACTGAAGTTCCCATTACGAACTCTAAACTACGAAATTGAAACATCACCGTGAATATTGTCGCTAAAATCATCCAAATGCCGAATATATGGAGGTACCGTTATATGGAGGCTATACGTAGACGTGGGTCTGCATAGACAATTTTCTGTTACAGGCTGCAGTACCAATTACTAATTCTTAATACGAATTTGAAACACTCAGGCGAATAATGTCGCTAAAACTATCAAAATACCTAAGATAGAGAGGTACTGATATATGGAGGCTATACGAAAACCTGGTCCTGCATAAACAATTTTCTGCATAGACTGTAGTATCCATTACGGATCTTAATACGACATTTGAAACAACTCGGGTGAATAATGTCGCTAAAATCATCAAAATACCGAATATAGGGAGGTACCGTCATATGGGGGGTATGGTATGAGGGTATACGATATCGTGGACCTATATAGAGAATATATTTCCAGAGGTTAAGTACTCCGAAGAAACTCCTTATGTGGATTTTCATACAATTTCATTGAAAATTTTGGCTACAGTCATCAAAATACCAAATATCGCAACATTTTAGTTTCCTATCTTTATTCCTTTGGACTCTAGCGTGGTTACACAGACGGACGGACGGGCTGGGCTGAGCTAAATCGTCTTAGAATTTTATCCTGACCATATATAAATCGTCTTAGAATATTACGCTGATTTAAAACATATATACATATACTTTGTTATGTGTAAAATTATTATTTCTATGAGTTACAAAGGGATTGACGAACTATATACCCTCCATACTATGTATGGTGGAGGCTATAAAAACTCACACATACACAGAAATGTCATCACACTAGAAAAATATTTTTTGGGAAAAATTGTCATTGTAGTTTAGCCCGATTAAAATTTGTTGTTTCCCAGTGACTGCCAGCTGGAGTGGGGGAGGGAGAGGAGTGGAGTAGTGGTCTGTCGGCTAAAGAGTGAAAACTCATCTTCCAACTGATGGAGGGCGACAGGATATGCGCCAAAAATCCATTATTTTATTTGCAATTCCACTAACGACCACTTGGAAAATGGTACCGAATGTCCCCCCTCCGCCTCGACGGAACTCCTCCACCAACTATTTGTGGGTGGAATATTTTATTTCCTTTTTTTGTTGTTTTTTTGTACAGCTAAATGTTTTTATTGTCAATATGGCTCTCTTCATGCAAATGCATGAAAAATACTGCAGCTATTACTAGCAAAATAGTGGAAACTTGTGTGACACCACTGGCATACGCAGCAGTTTGATGGCGTTGGTGAGGTGATGGCAACTGAAGTGTCATTTGGGTTCAGATGAAAAGTGTTATTCTCAAAGACACTATGTGGTTACTTGGAGGGGCGCTTGGTTTTCACACTTACGAGGAGACATTTGTGAAATATTCCTTTTGTTTGAAGGAGTGCTGGGGCTCTAATATAATAGAGGGAAAAATATCTTGTAGCTGAGTCACAAACTAGCGAAGAAATCCAAGTCTTAATGTTATCTAACAATTAAAGACCAAGATTGTACATCGACTTGATTAAAAAGGGAAGAGGGGGTATAGAAGCAAAATACCTCATAGGAAGAAGGAAATATGTAATAGTAGGTGAGGTAGAAATTCATAATAAGGACAAAGAGGCCGAAGGAATGTGCAAAAATATAATTAAAATTTAAAATAGTTTAGGAGAGAGAGATAGAGAGAGCGATCAGGTGTTTATGACTTCCTCAAAAATGTGGTACATTTATAAAAGTAACACATTTATAACTAACTAGCAAGTGGCCGCTACCTCGTCAAAGAAAAGTCCACCTCATAATTAAACCCAGCATATTAGCTAAACCCTTGCAGAATGGTTCACATTCATTTTTTTTATCCAGAACTATTTCAGGGTCTTTTAAAAATAACATATCTAAATCGTAGAAAATCCATAGCTATATCCCATCATTGGCTTTCACATCAAATTTCAGAATTCCAGCTCTACTCTAAGACCAAATCCCATAATTATTTCCATACAGTTATAATACACAAGAACAAAATCATCTCCTTCTATCCACCCCTTACGCCAACATTGACCTCGACACCAAAAATTCCGAATTCCATCTCTATCCCAACCCAACACACATTTAGTGTCATTTTGCACTTTTCGTACGTTCATAGCACCACCTTCTCCATCCTTAATCCATATTAAATTTCCGCATTCCAGCTCTATTCCTTTACACATATACGAAATTTGGAGGCATTTAGGACTTTTTGAACAATTATAGTACGCTTTTTTAAAACGATCTCCGTACATCAGTCCCAGATACCAACAGAGACCTCAATGTCAAATTTCGGGATTCCAGCTCTCCCATTACTTAATTTAGTATCATTTGGTACAAAACAAGCTCTTTTTCTCAACTACAGACACCAATAGAGACCTCAATAACAATTTCAGGATTTCCAATTTCTACTCCTTTACCCAATACCAAATTTAGTACCATTTAGTACGCATAATCAAACTCAAATTTCGGGATTTCTGCTTTTTAATTTCCCCCATTACCAAATTTAGTACAATTAAGTACAATTATAGCGCGCATATCCAGAACTAGCTCCTTCCCCCAACCA